AAGCAATTGCACTTGCGGTTTTTAACAAGAAGTCAAAAATATCACTTTTTACCAAAAATGACAAAAATATTCACCAAAATTAGAGAATTAAAGATATCATTACAAAATGAACAAATCTGAGAGAGGTCCACATGTAGTACCTATATATGTAATATCAAAGCAATTGCACTTGCGGTTTTTAACAAGAAGTCGAAAATATCACTTTTTACCAAAAATGACAAAAATATTCACCAAAATTAGAGAACTAAGGATATCATTACAAAATGAACAAATCTGAGAGAGATTCACATGTAGTACCTATATATGTAATATCAAAGTAATTATACTTGCGGTTTTTAACAAGAAGTCGAAAATATCACTTTTTACCAAAAATGACAAAAATATTCACCAAAATTAGAGAATTGAAGATATCAACATGAAATGAACAAACCTAAGAGAGGTCCACCCAAGGTACATATACACCAAGTATCAAAGCATTCAGGCTTGTAGTTTTCAAGAAGAAGTCGAAAAAGTAAAACATTGACACGGACGACGACGGACGAAGACGACGACGGACAATCACTAATATGATAAGCTCCGCTCGACAAAGTCGACAGCGGAGCTAAAAAAAATTATTATCTTCAGAGTTATGATGATTTAAATATGAGAAACCATAAAACTATGAAGGACTTCTGTCCGCACCATCTTGCCATAAAGGAAACGCCCGCAGGAGGTATAAACAATTTTCACCATGAAGTTTTTCAGCACGATTTGACCTGAAACAACTTCCTTTGACCTAACAGGTCATGTCTTTCATTAACCAATCAAAATGCTGTGTCGCAATGACGAAATATTCCGATTATTGACGATTTTTTTTAACGCAATGTGGAAGTGAAATACCGATATGTTAAAATGTGATCTGTTGCACTGATTTTGTGGAAAAAAAACAGGTGATTCACAATTTCCAAAAGGTAAACCATGGTTAATATCAACAGTGGGTAAACTGAGCGTGAAGGAAGTATTTAAACATTTTTCACGGTCGCCAACATGTCACATCGTTCACACCCCTTTCATGATAGTCTCAAAGTAAACGATTATTAAAGTAAAACCATGTCCAATAATCAGGTACACTACTCAACGATCACATTTTCAGCTTTCAAAAGCTACTACTCAAATAAATATGGATTACTTCAGTATTGCAACAACATGGCAAGTAAATGACAGAATAGAAAAGATGTGAACCACATTGTGTACATTTGTCAAGCACTCTGAAATTAATGCAAGTGTTTTCATAAAAGCACGAACCAAACAATCTTACCAATCACAATTATTATGAAATGAAACACACTTTTTACACACATATTTTGAAGAATATCATTGACGACCGGTAAAAACACGCTGAGCTTATGATCGTGAATGCCCTCAACTCGATAAATGTCTAAAAATAGAGGTATGGGCTTATCTCGAGAGAGACTTATGATCAAGAAGTACGGTACTTTAACGCAATTAGGCTTCCACTGTCAGAATACTGTGGTTCAAATGCATAATGTGATAACCCACGTTCTAAAAAGTTTATACTAGTAGTACACAATGCTGGGCAGCATGAATGTCTATATGTACAATTGCGTATACGAATGTGATCAGACACTAAAATGCCATAGCTTTGAAAAGTACCCGGATGTTAAATATGTTCGTTCGTTATTTATTCTCCTCCATGAATGACCTCCATGGTGTTTAATTGTAAGCATTTCAAATGCCTATCCAAGCTACAATTATAAACATAGTTGAACTCTGGTGACCTTGCCCCTTGTTATATAATATAATTCCCTTTATCATAGTTTGTTTCAATATAAATATGCATTGTCATAATTAATTTTGAATACAAACAAGTTTTGGGGTTGAACCAACAGTGGGGAATCAGTCTACCGAATGTCCTTAAAAGATGTAAATATCTTACAAAAACATTGATGCCTTATTTGTTTAATTATTTTAAGGGACATAATTTCCAGCTTTCTTCAAAGTAATTCAGATATTTTAGTATAAAAACAAATGTCTCATTGAAAAAACAAAGTGCTGCATTTAGATGTGAATAGATTCATAAAACATGCAAGATAACAGAAAATTTTAGCTGGCTTTAGTCCAAGTATTTTGTACAGGTGTCTGTCAAAAATTAATGATTCACTGAGACAAATATGAACTGCCTCATTGTGTGACTACTGTATTATATGAAAAGTAAAAAAAAACACCCTTTATGAATAGCTATCATGTTGCAAGCTCTGCTCTGCTTTGTATGCAAATCAACTTAAATAGTTAGTTGGTGTCCAGTGGAGGGAGAAGTCAACAGTACTGTTGCCTCCTGAGAATCTACATCTTCAAACACTGCAATCTTTGAAGTGCGTTTTTAAACTAGTATTATAAAAACTCTATCATTCTGTTCTAATAGCTGAAACATATTCCTGTGAGTTTTCATTTGTCGAATGAACTGTTTGTCAAATACAGAATACATATATTTTAGAATAATTTTCTTTTTAAAATGTTTTAAAAAATTTTCTTTTAAAAATTAAAATTTTTATTAACGACGACGACAACAACAACGACAACGCCGGACAACATTTTTCCCTTAATATACCTTTCCCTTCCATCTTTGATGGTACGGGCAAGGTAATTAAAACAAAATTAAACCACTGCAATATTATTTAAAATACAGTTTAGAATATAGACAACTATAAATTAAGGCCGCATTGAGGTAATCTTTAATAAAATATCTAAGTTTGTTGAAGTTATTGTAACCACAAATTAAAAGAATAAGCTGGACAACCACATCAACATGTAATGATGATTCAAGCAAGGTGAAATTACCTTATTGTTAATTGGTGGTTTTGTGAAATATTCTTGCCATATATACTATTTGTTTATAATTTTTCATATTAATGTTATCTAGCATCACAGAAAAATCGGTTTCTAAGTTTATTATGCGAGTTTGTTGGCATTTGTGTTGCACTCTAGCAGTGCTGGATATGATATAAGATAAGATAAGATAATTCTTTATTACAACCTTATAGAATGAATTACATATCTATTTTGGTTTATAATATATAACATTTTGTAATAGTTGTCCTAAGACATTTTGAGCAATGGCTCTTTATCAACAGCATAGTAGAAAATGTTCAATATAAAGTGGTCATATATTGCACAACTGATACTTTGGATCAAATGATGCATAACCACAACTTTCACTTAGGTCCTAACTGAGCATACTCAAAACTGAGACACTCATTTCCACTTAGAGGCTAATTTACCTACATTATATACCACAACATTCATTAGCAGTTAAATAAACTCAAACTTCACTGACCTCTCAAATATGACCCAGGGATTCGTATTAATGCATTGAGAAATCAATGAATACATAGTAGCAATATAAACAATGCTGTTTTTGACGTCATAGAGCATTTACCTGTACAGTAAACAAGTTCTTACCTGGCTCCATTTCAATTCAGCTTCTAAATTATCTGGCATTTTCCCATCTATATCTTTACTGTCTAATATTACTTCTGTTTTCTTTAACCAATCATTAAGTGAAACCATCTCTTTTTTAAAGCTTCTTGACAATTTTAAACCTTTTTCCAAGCTCATTTTACCATCTGTCACTTTTTTGCCAAGAATATTATATTGCTGCTTTAATGTATTCAACTTTTCTGTTAAGTCTTGAGGATTTTCGACCTGTTTCTTGTCCACTATTTGTCTTCCAGTTTTTATAACATATTCTACACCAGGCTTTACTTCACTAAGACTTTTATAGAAACCCTACAAGGATAATAAAATGCAACTAAGATATTGGTCTGAAGTATTAGTATTACACTTATGAATTGAACAATTGGCTGAAAGTCAGCTAAATAAACCTATTTAGCTGTATTGACATTGGTTAAATGTACAAATACCTCTCACAACTATTTGACTTCAGCCTACAAATGACTGTGACAATATG